CTTCCCACAGTAGCTACCTGAGAGTTTATGAGTGTGCTCATGCTCTGATTAGGGATGTTTCAAAAAGTCACCTGCAGTCTAAATAAAGTGAGATAAAATGATAGACTTAAAAGTTCCAGGTGAAGACTTTAAAAACAAGAACTTTTCATTCCTTCTCTCATCCCATAGCAGTTTACTGAGCCTCTGCTCTGCAAAAAATCCCACTTTGGAGGAATGTTATAACAAGAACCTCTCATATGGACACAGAGAGGTTAGCTGTCAGTCCATGATGGACACTGGAAATGCAGCAGTAAACAAAACAGACCCAGCCCATGCCCTCACACTCCAGCGGGAGTCTCAAGAGTCAGTTTGCCAGTATTGACTCAGCACCATCCTTGTACTGGAGACTCAGGGTTTGACAAACAGGTCCTCCTGTCCCTGGGAAGGTGACTTCTGATCTTATACTGGGGGAGATACTTCAGGGTCCCACAGACTGGCTGAAGTAGCTCAGGAGACCACTCAATCCCTTCTGTCCCCACTCACCATCTGTTATCAATGTAAGCTCAGGGCTATCTCCCCAATAGAAAAAAGATCCACAGAGAAGAGATGGGGGAATATTCTCAAACTAGAAGGTTGATCTCCACACTGAGGGAACACACACTTCCTGGCCTCACCCAATGGCCTCCTTTAGCCTGGTTCACGTTCACTGCTGTGACAAGACCAACTCAGTGCAAATGGGTCAAGTCTTGGTTTTGACCTGCAAAGCAGAGACCCAGATGTGGACAAGAGCTTCAGCTTGGAAAAGAGAGATGCTGTCAGTCAGTGTCTATCTACTGATCCCAGTAGCTGTCCTCCCCTCCTGTCCACTCTTTCTTAGCCTCACGAGCACCACACTGACTAGTGTTTAACACACTTTCACATACATGCTCTGTTTTAAGTCTCTAAAAACCCAGGGGAGGATATCCCAACCCCATGGATGAGGAAACCAAGCCCCAAAATTAACTTGCTCAGTTTCTCAAAACTGCTAACACAAAGAATTCAAACCCAGATACCCTCAGCCTCCAAAGCAAGGCTCCCGATTATCCCAGAGGTGGCTATTTTACAATTTCAGTTCTTCTTCTTTGAATATTGTCTTGCTCATCCCGGTGGGGAACTGTCTTATAACATGCAATTTTCTGGGAGAAGCCACAGGTTACTGTCCGGGGGAGGGCCCGCAGCCCCCCTACCCTCTGTCCTTGGCCAAGATTACTGCTGCTCTCAGATCTCTCTTGCCTCCTGCATGGGAATCCCTATGTGCCATGGATGTCTGTGGGCCTATTTTTAGAAATAGAAGGGAGCATGCGGGTGGCACACAGTGAGGTTTTCTAGGAGTTTGTTAATATTTTTGTAGAGTCCACTGGGAGTTTTAAGTTGATTGATTTCAAGATAGATTACCTCCCAAGGATGACATCCTTTCCCTGCTCTTCCGTTCAACCCTCCCCATCCCCAATGAGTTCGCTTTTTTGTGGTTTTCTTTTACACCCTAGGGCTTCTCCTTAGCACCCTCTGCTCAGAAGACAAGGATATTAATAACTAGCAGCAGCTACACCTGATTTATTTCTCAAGAATGCCGAGAAGAAGCAGATCTAGTTCTCCTTGACTTCTGTAGAGATTGGTAGCATCCCTTAGGACCTTTTTGCAGAGGGGACTGCTGTTTTAAAGATCTGGAAAATATGTCCATGGATGGATCTCAATGCCTTTTTAAAGCTCCTGAGTCAATGATTTTATTCTAGAACAGGCACACTACCATTTTAGGGGTGGGGTGTGTATATACACAAGTCAGAAACTGGGGAAAATTTTTATCATATTAAAATAGGGAGGAAATTACAATGCACATATGTAAAGTCTCTGCATTTGGGGGACACAATTCTGCTGTTGATGTTAAAGGACACATCATCTCTGTTCAACGATGTTCTTTGCCTTGGAAGGTCGATGGTGATCAAATAAAAATGCAAACACTGAAAATAAATATGCTTTTGAAATCAGTATTGCATTAGAAATGTCAATCCTAGGGGCGCCTGGTTGGCTCAGTCGGTTAAGTGTCCAACTTCGGCTCAGGTCATGATCTTGCAGTTTGTGAGTTCAAGCCTCACATCAGGCTCTGTACTGACAGTTTGCTCAGAGCCTGGAGGCTGCTTGGGATTCTGTCTCCCTTTCCCTCTGCCCCTCCCCCACTCACCCTCTGTCTCTCTCTCAAAAATAAATAAACATTAAAAAAATTTTTTAAATAAAAAAGATATCAATTCTAATACAGTAAAGTGACTCAATTAGTATACTATGTTGCAAATGAAAACACAAATATTAAACAAAAGCAATAATAATTGTATATACCAAAGTACCTTTTGTTTCATAATTAGTGATAACATTCATTTCCAAGTAAGTACCTTCTAGTATAAGATATAACACACGGTTTAAAGATACCAGACATCATTAGTCATACATTTTCAAATACCTTCTTAACAATAAAATACACAAAAAATTCATTAAATTCTGGCCCATGTTCTGATATGTCTGTTCTCCCCCCCCCCCTGTTTTTTTAACTAATTCTACAATCAAGCTCTATGAAGCTCTATGAAATAGGAATCAGTAGCTCTTTAAATTTTTTTTTTTCAAACGTTTATTTATTTTTGGGACAGAGATAGACAGAGCATGAACGGGGGAGAGGCAGAGAGAGAGGGAGACACAGAATCGGAAACAGGCTCCAGGCTCTGAGCCATCAGCCCAGAGCCCGACGCGGGGCTCGAACTCACGGACCGCGAGATCGTGACCTGGCTGAAGTCGGACGCCTAACCGACTGCGCCACCCAGGCGCCCCTCATTAGCTCTTTAAACCAGATCAGAATAAAACAGAACCAGTGTGCACTCAGATGGGCTCTGCCAGTGTCTGTCACAGTCATGTGTAGCCTGGCATTTGGGTCCAGTCCAAGGAGCCTTTTTGCAAATAGAATCTTCTCTCCACAGAGGGTATACAACCAACCATAGACAAAACGACATCCAGAGAAAGGAGCTGCCATTTTTTCCTCTCTATTTCAATAGGACACATTAATCTGATCTGGAAGCCAGTTATTCTTATAGGAGCAACAAAGTCTCACACCAGGGCCCAACACACCCTTTATAACTGCATGTGAATTCAGGGATCAGAACCTGTTGAAATGCAAACGGAGACCTAGTAAATGTGGAACGCTATCCCAAGAGCCTCTGCCCTCTCCATCCTCGCTTAGGTACTGACGATAGCAGAGCAGCATACCCGGACCTCTGACAGGTCCTCGAGTTAGCAGTAGAAGAACCTTGCATTTGGTTAACAATTTTGGGAGGAAGCAGAAGGATAGGACGCACAGGTCTGGGCTTTCCTTCTGCTAAACAAGCAAGCTCTTTCTCTTCACCCCAAGCCCCAAGTCCACAGAAAGAGGACAAACCAGGACTATCTTCCCATCACATAAACACAAAGCAAAGATTAATAGACATTATTTTCTTTTCAGTTTTCTGATGATTTAACGTAACAGTTTTAAGTAATGCCCAAATATTCATATAATAAAGGCACAAGGGTTTTCCTCCCAGTTAGATCGTCTGTGTATGGAATTGGTAACCCAGTATAAAAAAAAAAAAAGGCCCATTTTTGCTTTAATGTGCTGCAGTTTTCAAACCTCAAGACATGTGTGATTTGGGGAATACTCAGGTGCTTACAGAAACCGCATTTGCCTCATCAAAGACTGGAGAAAATCGCTAGCAGCTGTTGGCCTTCTCACCCCTGGGACCCTCACCCTAACTGCTCAGCATGCAGCCATTCCCAAGGGCCAAGGCCCTCAGTTAATCCAGGACCCTATCCCAGCCCTGTCTCCGTTGGTCCCAGACCAGACTGCATACCTGGCCAGGGCAACTGGCTCTGTGAAAGCCTCTGTTGAGCAAAGGGAATCAATCCCATTCAAGCTCAGAGGATTTGGGTAGAAAGGGCCCTCAATGGAAACATCAAGTCAGCCACTTGGTTGTTTTTACCACTACCCACACGAGGAGTATAGAAAAGTGACAAGGAGACACGGGAAAGGAAGCCTCGTCCTTGGTTTAGACTCCAGCCCACAGGCTCTCCCACACATACCTGATAGAGTCACCAGGATGCAGTAACTGGCTCAGCAAGGCAAGGTCAGGTGCCTCAGGAGTCCTCGAAGGCCAAGCTTTACTTAGACACATGTGTGTCTAAGTTTTAGAGATTCACAGTCTTGGAATTTTTCACCTGAGGTGGCTTCAGGTGGAAGATTAAAGTGTGTAAATTACCAAGATGACTTTGTAACACTGGGTTGTATGCTTTTCTTAATCACACTGATCTCATCCACTTGATGTACCCCAGCAGCACACCTTGCTTGGCGTGGGTGACTCGGAAAATCTGAGATCCAAATCGAGCAGGAAAGTCTCTTCACCTGTGTGGGCTTGCATACTCCCCCCGCCGCCGCCTCCTCCAGCAGCAAAGGCCCGGAAGACAGAGAGGAAAGCAGGGGAAATTGGTTCCCTAAGAACAGAAAACAATCCAAAAGACACATTTAAGTCACCACTGGCAGATGCACTCTTTCTCAGGTTAAAAGACCCACAGAACACATCCCAGTTCTGACTTCTGTACTGAGGGGCGATGGGCATGAACGTGCCCTTCACCTGTCTGGGCCTAGGTACCCTCATCTTAAGTGGGCACAGTGGCTGGCTGAGTTCTCAGGTTCCTTCCCACGCCTCCCAACCCCCAGATGATATTCTGTGGCTGTGGATTTACACTGGAGCTCTAGGGTCCCACTCTGGGAGGCCACAGCTTTCCACATTAGTAATGGGTTCCTAAGGGGGAAAAAACAGTGATACTTCGAGCGGCCCTAGGATAAGGGAGGGTCAGTATTAAACAAGCATCACTCATCATAAATTAGTACTGATCATCTAGCCAAAACCCTTAAGGAAAAAGGGGGCTCTTTTTTTTTTTTTTTTAAAGATTAAGTTTCTTTTTCTTTAAAGGAAAATTGCCAAGGATGCAGAAGGAAATGAAGATGATCAAAGATGAGGATGTGCATTTCAATCTGGGTGTGAAGAGAGCCCCCTCCTTTCCCCACTGCCTGCAGCCAGTGGTTTCCCGAGGGAAGGCTCCCCAAAGACACCCCTTCCCAGAAGCTCTCCGGGGGCCTTTTTCCCAATTTCGGTATGAACCTCCTCCAGGACACCTAGATGGATTCCCGGGGGTCTTTGAAGGAGGAGGGTCTCGAAAACGGAAGAGCATGCCCACCAAGATGCCCTACAGCCACCCTGCGGAAGAGGCCCCTCTCGCCCTCCACTCCGAGGACAGCAAAAACCACGGCCCTCCGAACCTCTCCCTGCTCTTCCCGCAGCCCCCGCGCCCCAAGTATGACTCGCAAATGATCGACCTGTGCAACGTGGGCTTCCAGTTCTACCGCACCCTGGAACACTTGGGGGGCAAGCCGGTCAAGCAGGAGCCCGTGAAGCCCAGCGCCGTGTGGCCCCAGCCGACGCCCCCTCCGTTCCTGCCCGCGCCCTATCCCTACTACCCCAAGGTCCCCCCGGGCCTCATGTTCCCCTTCTTCATGCCATCGGCCTCCCCCTTCCCCTTCAGCCGGCACACCTTCCTGCCCAAGCAGCCCCCGGAAGCGCTGCTGCCTCGCAAGGCCGAGCCTCGGGAGAGCGAGGAGGCCAAGCAGAAGGTGGAGCGGGTGGACGTGAACGTGCGCATCGATGACAGTTACTACGTGGACGTGGGCGGGGCGCAGAAGCGCTGGCAGTGCCCCACCTGCGAGAAGTCCTACACCTCCAAGTACAACCTGGTGACCCACATCCTGGGCCACAGCGGGATCAAGCCGCACGCGTGCACCCGCTGCGGGAAGCTCTTCAAGCAGCTCAGCCACCTGCACACCCACATGCTCACCCACCAGGGCACACGGCCCCACAAGTGCCAGGTGTGCCACAAGGCCTTCACGCAGACCAGCCACCTGAAGCGCCACATGATGCAGCACAGCGAGGTGAAGCCGCACAACTGCCGCGTGTGCGGCCGGGGCTTTGCCTACCCCAGCGAGCTCAAGGCCCACGAGGCCAAGCACGCCAGCGGGCGCGAGAACATCTGTGTGGAGTGCGGCCTCGACTTCCCCACCTTGGCCCAGCTCAAGAGGCACCTCACCACTCACCGGGGCCCCATCCAGTACAGCTGCTCCGAGTGCGACAAGACCTTCCAGTACCCGAGCCAGCTGCAGAACCACATGATGAAGCACAAGGACATCCGGCCCTACATCTGCTCCGAGTGTGGCATGGAGTTCGTGCAGCCCCACCACCTCAAGCAGCACTCCCTCACCCACAAGGTACCGCCGGAACCCAGGCCGCGGGCGGGCGCCCGGGGAGCAAGCGCAGAGCCCTGGGGGGGCGGGGCCCGCAGACCTTCACCGCCCCGCACCTGGGCGGGGAGGAGCTGTGTAACCCTGGGCGAGGGGCTTCCTCCCTGAGTCCTGGCCGCCTTCCTCTCCTTGAAATGGGGGACGCTGGGGGGCCAGCAACCAAGTCCTTTGCCATCCAGCCTTCTAGAGTCTAAGATGGGCCTGGAAATAAATAACGTGGGCAGTTTGGAAAGGAGGGTGAGGAAGGCGGAAGGAAACAGCTGGTCCTTGTGCTGTTGCTTCTTAGCCTCCTGCCACCCCTAAAATTCTGTTTCTGGAAACTTCATCCAGGGCCCTAGCATGCGTGTGCCATCAGGTATTATTTACCCAAACCATTTCTGTGCCTGGGGTATGCTAATCAGAGCCACCTTCTAGAGAATTCTCTTGGTCCTTTGCTGCAGAAGTAGTGCCTACATTTTGGGGTGTTTTCACTCTCAGCTGTGAGGAGTGCTTCACATATGCACGTGGCTCTGGATCCAGCAAGGCCTCTGCTTCCCCTGGTAGAGCCCCTGCCTAGGTGGGTGTAGGGCCCTGTGGTTTTTTTTGTGGGGGGAATGAAAGAGCATCCTGCTCTGTCTGCTTTGTTTTTATCTTTCCTGGGCTCAGGTCTTTAAGGAGATATACAGGCACAAATGTCTAAATTCAGCCTGGTTTGCAACCAGAGCCCTGGAGTCATTCAGGATGAAGTAAGGCGAGGCCACAGTAGTGTCCCTGATAACTTACCCAGCTAAGCTGATTGGGTCTGCTTTGAGCTTCCAAGAGGAGAGGTTTGCCCCACTGGCTACCCTCACGCTTTTGACCGCAAGTGGTTTTCTTGGCAGGCGAGACTTCTAGCAAGCCAGAGTTTCTAAAAACACTCTTTAATTCAGAAAGGTCACTGGAGGACTTTGCTCAGCTGAGATAACATCTCTACCCAGCCATAGTGTGTTTCATTTGATAGGTTAGGACAAAACATGGGGCATTTTTTTGGCTCTGCCGTGGAGATGAAATGTGTGGTTGCCTTGTGGGCAGTGCACAAACAACTCCTGCCCCACAAAAGGCACCTGTAGATACCATCCAGAGAGGAGGCCCCTGCCAAGTGCAGGAACCCTCAGCAAAGAACCTGTACTGAGATTCACCCACAAAGGGGACCATTGCTGATTTCAGGGGCTCCTACATGTGTGGAAAAGGAATCAAAGATGCATTTCAGAACATATAAAAATTCCGTAAGATAGTAGAAAATGAAGTCAAAATGGGCAAAGCAGCCTCGTATCTGAAACATCTCACTGGAATTAGAAAACAAAATGCATTTTAATTCATAGTGTCAGCAGTGAGAGGTAGTGTTTATATAACGGTTGCTGTATATCAGGTGCTTTACTTCTCATTTAATCCTCTTTAACAACTGGAAGAGCAACCTGCAGATACTATTCTAGATTTGCAGATGAAGACGCTGAGGCATGGGGTGGTCACCCAGAATCTTGGACTCGAGCACCTGACTGAAACACTACTGTCAAGTCTTTCTCTTCTCCACCCCCTTCCCTCCCTCACCCCTGAAAACCCCTACAGGCTCCCTCTCTGATTTCACTGATCCTATTAGTGACAAGGTGGCTTCCTTTGTTCCCGGAGTTGTGTCTAGGCTTTCATTCACTTGAGTTCTAGGCCAGCTCATAGGTGAATTTTACCGTGGACATAGAATTCTCTGAGAGAATTCCAAAAACAGTGATAAGTAGATACTTCTCCTTGGTCCCAGGTCAGCTGAATCACAGATTAGTGTGAAGGCAATCTTGAGAAGAAAAATGCTGAAGTAACTTTTAAAAAACATCAAGAACATAATTTTCGTTAATTTCAAAAATTTAAATTCACTGATTGAATATGCAACACACTTAAAATTCATCTTCTTAGGAAGGCCTTAAAATTTAGGTCTCTTCATTAGTATATATCCATACTCTTCTGCAATCATCTAGACTCAAGAGTATTCCAGCTGGAAAGAGTCCCTGGCTCATGACCCACCATCTTCAAATGAGAAAACCATCACCAGGAAAGGCCATGAAACTTGCCTACAGTTACATAGCCAGTAAATGGTTGGGCAGAGACCTGAACTTGTCCTTGGGTGCCATGGGCTCACCAAAACTGAGGAGTGCTGTTTTATTATCAAGTCCCAAATTAAAGAAATGGACATATAGGCAGAGAGACTCAGAGGTAAGCTTGGAACTCCTCTCTCCCAGGTCATTATGGATACCAGGCAATATGTGTTTTATTAGGTACAGTTGTTAACTAAGCAACTTGTTATAATTCCATAATAATTTTAGTTTTAATGCCATGGTTCTCTAAGTTTTCCTTCTGAAAAGTCATTCCGTGTTAAGATAGCTTGCAAAGGCCTTTTCAGGGAAGCACTGGTTAGTTGGGACTAGCTAATACTCTACTCATGCTTTGAGTTCCTGGAAATGTTTTCAAGTGAGGACACTAATGCTTAAGTATTCAAATATCCACTGCCAAATTTCTCTATAGGACAGAAGCTAGCTGAGCAGAGGCTCCATAGCCAAATCACATAGAAGTCACTATGACCTATGGGAGCCCAGGTCACTGTGACCTATTGTAATTTATTGAACAGTAGATATGAATTGTTCTCCTGGGATTTTCAAGTGTATTAATGAGAACTCAAGAAAACATTGGTTTTCATATGAGAAATGATATTATCACTTTAGGAAGTTTTATTTTTTTTCATTATCATGAAGGGTAGATGATAGACTCATTTCACATATCATTCCACAGTGCTCCTACCAAAATCTTTTTAATCCCCAAAACTGTTATTGTAGAATTAACCCATGTAGCATCAGGAACAACAAAAGCAGTAGCGTTCTTTTCCTCTAAAGTTCTGGCTTAGGGGCGCCTGGGTGGCTTGGTCGGTTAAGCGTCCGACTTCGGCTCAGGTCATGATCTCACGGTCCGTGAGTTCGAGCCCCGCGTCGGGCTCTGGGCTGACAGCTCAGAGCCTGGAGCCTGTTTCAGATTCTGTGTCTCCCTCTCTCTATGCCCCTCCCCTGTTCATGCTCTGTCTCTCTCTGTCTCAAAAATAAATAAACGTTAAAAAAAATTTAAAAAAATAAAGTTCTGGCTTAGTTAATGGTTTTCAGAAGACAAAAAAAGGTTACGTAATCAACACCTTTCAAGAAAACAGCAGTTAACAAGGCTAAAGCCACACCATTTGGAACTCAACATCTGTCACCAGGCTCTTCATGGATTTTTGTGGCAAACAGAAGAATGAAGACTACAATTCTGATGAAAGCCTGTTACCTGCTAACCACAGTATTTTTGAATCTGCTTCCCTCTAGGGTGTGAAGGAACACAAATGTGGGATTTGCGGGCGGGAGTTCACTCTGTTGGCCAACATGAAGAGACACGTGCTGATTCATACCAACATCCGCGCCTACCAGTGTCACCTGTGCTACAAGAGTTTTGTGCAGAAACAGACCCTCAAGGCACACATGATCGTTCATTCTGACGTGAAGCCTTTCAAATGCAAGGTGGGCAGTGGGCCCTGGGAGGAATGCAGACAGGGAGGACTCTGAGGGTTGTACAAACGCCCAAGGAGAGAGAGTCTCCAGGAAACTTCCTACTATGTTTCACCAGTGGGGTCACTGAGGCTCAGAGTAGGTCTTTGGCTAACCCCAGGCCCATCTGCTGCTCTGTTCTTTGTACCACGCCAGCCTTTAGCTGGTCCCTGAGAAGCCTGTCCTATTGGTCTCACTGTGGAATCAGTGTGCAGGGGTGGAGGGAGCCAGTAGAGGAAGTCTGAGGGTGGAAGGCCCATTGGGAAATGAGGTTGTTAAAGGATGAAGGTGATGTGGAAAGTTCCCATTCCAGAAAGAAGCAATTGAGTATAATACTCTTCTCCTTACAAGCCAATGAGTGAAACACAGAAAGGAGTCACAGAGTCTTCTAGCACTGCCCCCTCCCTTCTCACACTGCACTCCCTCACCCCCCTCCGCCTTCCTGACACTTGGACTTCAAGTGTAATTTGAGGACAGGTCTCTGAGGCAGGATGAAAGAGACTCCAAGGTTAGTCCTCTGACGACCTTAGAAATGCTTGTTTGGGCCAAGGAATAACTGTGAGCACAGTCATCTGAAGTGTTTCTTTGTTCCTAAGTACCATGGAGCTCAGGGATTTTGAGCATCTTCATTAAAATGTCTGCATCAGATTCATTTGGTTGAATTGCTATTTTATCAGCTGAGAAAATGTGTGAGTTGGAGATTTGTAAAACTCAAGGCATTGACTGGTAGGTATTATTTAGAAATGCTTGGGCTTCCCAGGCTTTTCCCCCTTCTTCCCATCCTCTCCCCACATTGTTTCCCTTCTCCACTTCTAGAATGAGAAGGAATCTTGCTGAGGATTGGGTAGTTTAATGTACTGGCACGTGCCATCCCCATCATGAAGAGAGAGAGCTGAGGGGGAAGGAGAGGGAAATCACACCCTCAGATATTGTTAGAGCCTTTCTGTTTGAAATGGAAGTTTCCCTTCTCTGTCACTGCATGTCTTATAGGGTCCAGATGATATTCTCCGTCCATCTGAGGGGCGGTTCCTGCTTTAATCCCTCTACAGCATGTCCCCTTTCCCCCCCTTCTTGAAGAAACCCCCTGTGAAGCTGACTGCTTTCCTGTGTTGGCCACTCCTGGACAGGGTGAGCGGGGTCAGGAACCAGAGCTTCCCTAGACCTGTGTGGGCATTCTCTGCAGGTGGGGGAGGGAGGTTTCTCCCTCCAGCCCTTTCCTGCCACCCACTTGTGTTTCCCCTCCTTTGCTTCAAGTTCCCAGTGGTTTGCAAGTCAATTTATGTCCATCTTGAGCCATCTGAGTTGAAGGAGAAGGAAGCTGCGTGCAGAAGGGGCTACATAATTGATAGTGCCTGATGCAAAATGAAAATGTAAGGCCCCTTGTTCAAATGTTATTAAGAAATTTTGAGATGGTACAAGTAGAACATTACACCAAACTCAGGACGCTTCTGAGATGGGGCTGGGTGTGACTGCATTGGTCACACACCCACGAAGCTAGCCCTGGCCACATGAGCCCAGGGACTCCGTACATCACTTCTTCTCTCTCTGATTAGGCATTTGGATTTCCTTCCCGCTTCCCACTTTGAGCCTTTCACTTTTAACAGAGCTATTCCTGCCTGCCAGAAGTTTGCTGTCTCCTAAAGTCAAGGTGCAAACGGGCACTGCTTGCCACTCCTCATTTGCTGTGCTGAGTTTACTCTTGGGCTTCCAGCATGAACTGTATTTTTTATCAAACCAACTGGTGGCAGAACACATACATTGTTAAGGCATGAAGGTAGCCATGCTTGTGGTCCCTTCCACTCGTGTCCAGTCCAACTAACTCACACTTCTGCCTTTTCAAGTCAGGTCCAGGAGTAGTTGTGAAACCAGGCAGAAGATACCTCTGAAATAAGGGATATGTCAGGGAGCAGAGCCGCTGCAGGAAAAGGGCTTGCAGGCTGGGTTTGATCTGGGGACGCAGAGGCAGTTCTGTTTGCCTACCTCAAGGGCCTCAGAGTGGCCTGGAGGATTTCTTGGACCAGGTGGTACCCGAGGATTTAGAGGATTCTCTCTGGCACCAGGGCACAGAAGACTGCATGCTGTAGTGCAACCTGGGCCCAATGATGCAGTGAACCAGCCCTGCTCAAAGCTTTATGTCTCCTTTCATGAATCACTGCCCCCTCCTCCTCCATCCACCCCAATGATAGTGCACATACATGGTTTAGAGGGTGCCTGATGATCAACTTTATGGTTCGGAAACTCAATATGACCTCTCCCTGAGAATGGTTTAGGCTCTGGATGTATGCTCACACCACCAGATTCCATAAGAGAAGGGCTTGCAGTATAAGTTATGAGCTCTGAAATGATGCACAGTTTATACTCTTCAGTACCAGATGGGCCTGGTGCACGAATTGGACTGGTCATCTGCAAAGGCATCCTTTTCCTGGTTGGGGGGGTGGGACAGGTTGTCCTAGAAGACCACACTTTGGGTCAGGTGGCTGCCTCGGAGAGTGTATCTACTATCAGGAGAAAAATAATTGGATGTTGAAGGGTATTTTTGTCAAACAGGTGGCCCTTCTCCCTTCTTAGATGTTTCTTGAACGAGGACAGGCATCAGTCACCTCAATGGAGAGCCCTCTGCCTCCTGAGAAGTGCCAGAAGCACTGCCAGGGTCCTCCTCCTCTTTGTCCCCATGTCCCCACAAAGTGCTGCCTTTCTTCACTTCAGAGGAATCTCAGAGCATGTCTGAGTTTACAGATCACATGACAGGGCTCTTTGTGTCCTGTCCAGGCTCCAGATCCAGATCCCACTGTTGGGTGGGCCATCTCGAGATGGTGTCCTGTAACCTTTGCTCCCCATCAGTGTTGTTGTAGATTCTTGGAGATCTGGTAATGGGTAGAGGTTGATGGTGCTTTGGGAGTTAGGTACAGGATGGAGGGCCATTTGCTCCTTGCTACAGAATTCAGAGTCAATCAGACACGGGTGACTGGCTGGCTGCATAGTGATGTTGGAGAAAAGGCCCAGACAACTAAACCCAAGCTTTACTGTACTCACAGGGAAGGGTTATTCCCCTCACACGGTTGACATGGCTAGCAAAAAGACATAGGCCTTGTTCCAGTCGTACTCCAAGTGTCAGCTCCGTCTCCTTTACTCGAAAACTTATAAAAAGGGGAGACTGTTTAAATAACAGGTTCTAATTTCTTAGGATTCACACCACTGAAAATCCTTCCAAACATACAGCCCTCCCCCTGTTGCAACATGAAATGGTTCTCTCTGCCCCGTGCTCAGTGGAAACAGCTGTCCACAGCAAGCAGAAACATTCGCTTACTGTGAGATTAAGCATTAACAATAGGATGGAAAATTAGAGGAGAGGAAAGGTTTCCATTCTGTGTTTCTATTTTTTTTTTTTTATAAAAAAAAATTACTGCCCTTCTGGGCTCTTATGCTATTGGCTCCACTTCTGGACTCCCTGCTTCTTGGAGCCAGCTGGAGTATCTCCAAAGACCTGCGCCTGTAGACTTAAGCCATGTTTCAGAAATATGCTTCCCAGATTCTGCGTAAGCATGCAGGGGTTGATTTGGATGCTATCCTTGTAGAGCCACACTCCATAATAGCAAAGAACCAGCTGCCGTCTTTGGGAAACCTGTCCAGGAAAAGCAGCCATCCAGAATTTCCGGGACAAATTCTCCTTTGAGATGGGTGAAGCCGGGAGCTGCCTAAGTTATGAATCACCAGGTCATCTGCAGCCTTGTCTGAAGTAGAGGCCTGAAGACGGAGGGCAGGGCTGATAGAAGAGGATGAGGTCTCCTTGAAAAAGGTCCCCACCACCTTTGCCACCATGGCTTTGCTTCCTACTCCAGCTCTTGGATGCCCCATGGGGGACAAACCAGGTGGGGGCTTTTAGGGGCCCAGGACTTTGGGTCCAAGCACTCAGGCTGGCATTGAGGGGGTTAAGGCAGTGACCAGATAGCAGCCTTTTGGCAGCAAAGCCCTCCTCAGCAGAAGGAAGGATATAGCTGTATGAACTGCCTGCTTAACAATGCCTCACATGTCCCCAGGGGCCCGCCTGCAAATAGATTTCATCTTGCTTTCTCTTGTACTTTTCAAAGCTTCCTGTTTTCTCACGGTCCTTTTGGACAGTTTACAGTCTCTCTCTCCCTCCCTCCCTCTCTCTCCCTTTGAGGAAAGGAACACCCTTCTTATTAAAAGAGAGAGAGAGAAGAATGTAAGGGAAGGGCAGTTTAGCAGAGGCCATTCTCCTCGGCCGCAGGCTCCAGCTCTTTGACCTTTTCTCTTAGAATAGGAAAGCACAGGCTTCCTGGTGCATCTCAGTCCGCAGGCTCCGATTAGGCTGGTTGGCACGAAGTAGTGTGCCTCTTCTTGGCTTTGTGGGCCTCTGGCCCAGTGCTGCCCACTGCCATCACCCAGTCTCTGCACCCAGCTGACTTCGTGGTGAGGCTGGCTGTCCATGCTGTCACTGCAGCTCACAAGAAGTTACCTGAGGTGTTTCTAGCCCTGAACCAGGGAGGGAAGGGGCACAAGGAGGCCAGAATTCGGAACTGCTTTAAGGATGAGAGAACAGGGCATCGGCCAGCTGTTTAAATGGCTAACTGAGAGTCTGGGTACTGCATAAAGGGCTCTCCCAAAGCCTGCAATTCAGGATGAATCTTGTCTTTCCATCCACATTTCTCAGTGCTGGGTCAGGTACAACTGCTTCCATTTCTATATGCCTCAAGTGACCTGGCAAGTATTTACTCAAAAGGATTCCTTACTTCATCCTCCCTTTCATATTTCCTCCAAATAATTGGTTTAAGAAGTAGTCTTATCTTTGAAGAACTATTTCCAGAATTTAAAAGAGTCTACTATGTACATGATAATGATAGTAGTAAGAGCTACTATTTATTGAGCTCTTACTATTTGCCAAGACCTTTACATGAATTATCTCATTGGATCCTTACAACAACCTTCATAAGAAACTATTATTATCACTGACA